GCAGGTTATCTGATACGCTACCCCTTATGGGGTCACACCCCACCGGTTGAGAACTGCTGTAAGGGATGTTCACATGATCAGACATGACAAGGAACATAATAGAAGGATGAAACCCTTGAACAACTGCCATACAGAGAATGGAATGTTAGTAAGTAGTCATCTTGGTTGGATCTTATGTCCTTCAGAAGTTCACATGTTCACAAGGCTTGGTCCCCAGCAGTTGGGACTTCTGAGAAATGGAGTCTAATTGGAGGATATAGGTCATTAGGAACGTGCCATTAAGGGTATTCTGGGACCCTACTCCCTTCTCCCCATCCTCTCTCTGCTCTCTGGCTGTCATGAGGTGAGCGGCTTGCCTGTCTATACCCTCTTATTGTTATGCTCTGCCTCATTACAGGTCCCTAGCAATGGGCTGAAATCTCATAGTTCCCATGAATAAACATCTCTTTCCATTAGTTGTTTATCTCAGCTGTTTTGTTACAGTGACAGAAACTGGCTAACATCCCGGGGCCAAGAAGCCCAACCCTGAGTGCATTTAGAGAAGACAATAGGGTCTGCCTGAGCCCCAAGTAGACTGATTAAGTTCCTGCCATAACTCCTCTCAGTGATGGACTGTGATGTAGGGATGTAAGCCAATGAACCCTCTCCTCCCCAGGTTGCTTTTAGTCAGACTGTTTATCATAGCTCCAGAAGCAAACTAGGATTTAAGAGCCGCCCTGGACTAGGTGCCCCAGCAAATAGGAATATTGGTCATGGTGAAGCTAGAGTGATGCCTTGTTTACCCAGAACACCCCACCATTGGACATAAACATATAGTCAGGGTTTCCGAGGTGACATAAAGGACCACACAGACACCAAAGCCAGTGCCACTGGTGTTATCTTCTACCACCCCAGTGGGAACTTGCAATAGAAGAAATTCCTATTGTCACTTCCTAATGGTGAGGCTGTCTGAAGGGCTGTGTGCAGATCCACTCCCAAGGATACTTTCCATCCCCTCTAGGATTGTGTTATGGTGATTCTTGCTGGAACTGAGCATGCAGTGGGAAATAAGGCTATCTGGCCACCTGCCCCTTGAGGTCCATTAAATGTCACTGAGAAGTCTTGTTTGACTCTTCCAGATATAATTGATATATATTGTTTGGGGAGAAAAGCCTTATGAGGCTGAGTGTGTGCGATAAAAGTTAGCTTAGGTCATGTCCATTCCACTTAGCTAAACTGACTAAGCCATCAAATTTGTACTCTGACTGCCACTGCCCACCTGTGGGCCAAGGATGCCTTTAATGCCTCGGTGAATGGATTCAGTAATTCCTCCCTTTCCCACTTCTAACACAGCTGTTAGAGCCAGCACAATAAATTGCCCTTCTGTGTGTCCTTTACCATTCACCTCTCCTCTAAAGTCTGTAATTTTAGAGTAGGAAGATCCATTCCCAACCTCGTTTAAATCCATATTGGAAAAGGTTTTGTTGTGTTTTTTTTTTTTTTCCTACATTGCCTTGTGGCTTCATGTAGGAACTTAGCTGAGCTGACAGTCAAGCTCTGCAGGAGCAGGGGTGGGGAATCTTGCCTGCTTTTGCTTAACAGTGTCCGTTTGTTTCCAACCAATTGTGTTATTGACAAACATAAATTATGCATTTAATTTCCCTAGTTTTCTTCCTGTTTCCTTTTGAGTTATCAGAAGTCATTATTTTAAAACTGTGTGTGACCTAAAGAGATCCAAATGGTGAAAGTATAGTAAGATGGCATAATATGAAGAGCTGAACCGCTGGGAAAGTGAAGGGCACACACGCTCTCTAATCTTATTTAAGGGTATGGTGGGGTGCAAATATTCTTCTCATTTTACAGATGAGAAACTTGAGCCTATGAGACATAAACATTTGCCAAGGACCCCACTGCTAGCAAGTGGTATATCCAGGTGAGATCTGCTGACGTCAGTACTGTCCCAAGACGTTCTTCCACGAGAGGAGGAAAAGTATACATGGGAACCGCTGAATGAGGGCTTGTACTTACATGTAACTTTTGAATCAAAGTATGGCCATCTTTTCTAGTTCTTCAGCATACAAACCCTGGTTTAGGGACCCACGGACATCTGTCCACTGGCTCATAAAATGAGTTGTGAGGTTCAGCCCTGTGTCCCAAGAATGAGAAAAGTGACTCGCAAGGGTGTCATCATTTTGCTAAGGACACTCGGCTAATTGCCAGACTGAGACCAGAACTAGACTTTCTTTACTACCAAAATTATCAACAACAAAATACATATGCCATTTTTGTTTGGGTTTGTTGGGATTCTACACCAAGTGCTTATATAATCTATTTAAAATAAATTCCAAGTGGGTTCAATTTTTATAGCTTGGGTACAGAAAGGATTGTCAATTACCCCTCAGTGCCCACTTGGAAGTGTTTTTCTCTAGTTCCCTAATGAGAACTATGAGATTATAAGTGGAGTCGAGTCCTGTGCCCAAGACCTAGCTGTGTAAGCGTGCCAGCCTTAGGCAAGGGAGGATGTTGTAGAGGATCACAGAATCCAAGGTCCTGTGGAACAAATCAAGTTTGCTTGGCTACAGTCACTTCTATAGTGGTGTAATTTAGGTCTTCCCACTCTAAATTTTAAAAATTCAGATGTGAGTTTTCAAGATTTTTTAAAAGCACTCTTCCTCGAGAAGCACAATATGCAAAGGAAAAAACAAAAAGCAAAGAATAAGCCTCCACCCCCGCACCCTAGTCAGAACTGCTGCCATGAAGAGAGCAGATTCCGGCAAGTGTGTGGGGAGAAGAGGAAGCCTGCACACTGCTGGTGAGAATGCCCACTGGTGTCACCACTGCTGAAGTCAGTGCGGAGGTTCCTCAGAAAACTAAAATTAGAACTTCCGTGTGACGAAGCTACACCATGTGCAGGCAGATCTCAAAGGAACTGAAGGCAGCGTCACTCCACGGTACCTGCTACACACACCCATGTTTATTGCTGCACATCTTACAATAACCAAGAGACGCAACCAGCTTAGAGGTCCAGAAACGATGAATGAGTAAAGAAAACATGACATGATAAATGTGCACACATTAATGCACAAATACACGAACACACAACACACACATGCATACACAGAAACACACACGATGTGCATACATGGATGCAGGTGCGCGAAGTTCACAACCATCTGTAACTCCAGTTCTAGGGATCCTAACTCCTCCTCCTGGCCTCTGTTGGGCACCTGGCATGCAACTGGTACACAAATATATGTGTAGGCAAAACACTCATATACCTAAAATAAATTTTAAAAACTGAAGGAGTGAGAAAAGAGGACATTGTGAGATCACTTTAAAATTACGTATGTGCTAAGAGAAGCGTATCACAAAAAGATGGTCATAATAAAGTCTCCCACCAAATTAAAAGTCAGTAGTTATGGGAGGACTCTGTTGTCCCTAGAAACCGAGAAGCCCCTTTGGAACAAGACACTGAATTGAGATTCCATTTCCCAAGTCAGGCCTTCAGTCAGACTGTGTAAGTGGTCAGGAAATGATTCCCGAAGGCCTTCGTCTTGAGCATGCCGTCTGCGTCCTTGAGCGATGGATATTGAATACTGCCCTTGACCTTCTGCCGGAGACATATTTTATTTACTTCTTCCTATAGAATTTCCTTAGCAGGGCTGTAATGAGCACCGTTCGTCATTCTAATGGGTTCAAATGGAACCTCTTGAAGTCCCCCAGGATGTGCCTTGGTCTAAGAAAAGAAGCCTAGTCAACTGCACTCTCCGGAATTTACGACTTCCACAGGTTGACATGGCAGGGTTATTTGTGGTGTCCTATAGGGACATGGCCTTCTGAAACCCCATAGCAGAATAGCCCCACTCCTACCCCCTTTTCACGGACCAGCCAACTCCCTGCACCTTCACCCTTCAGCTCCACCAGGGTCTGGACGTAAGCCCATCCACTCAGTTTCCACCCTACCCCTGGTCATCCCAAACTCCTGTTAGCTGTGCTAACAGAGCCCATATGTGGTTTCATGTGAGAGAAAACCTGAGAACCATACCGCTGCCTTTGAAAGTGAAAGGACACCAACGTTCCCAAACCCTGTTGTTTTCTTGCTGATAACCTTAGAAGTTGTGCAGCATCTCTGAAATGTAGAAACCCTTGATGATACTGTTAGAGAGACTTCATAATCATTTATCAGATGTCTGTACACATAAACAAACTCAGCATGGTGGGTGATTAGCTCAAAATTCACTAAGGATTAAATCTTACAGAATTAATATAAACACTAATTAAATGCCTATTGTATACCTGTGGGCTGGCAGATAGCCACTAGGGCCACTGTGAAGCACAAGAATAGGACTTTCTTTATCAGGCTTAATGTTAATATTCAGGCATCTGTACTGGCCTGTCCTTGGGGTTCTGACAGGATATGCCCTCAGCTTCAGTCACTAAGAGCACCACCTGTGCACATTGACTGTGTTCCTTTTTAAAAGGGCCCTGTCCACCTCCCATCTCTGTGTGTGTGTGTCTTTCTCCCTCGCTCTATCTGTCTGTTCCTCTCTCTCCCCCCATCTCTCTCTCCCCCTTTCCACTCTCCTTTCTCCTGCTGCTCCTGTCTCCAGAGGCTGGTCTCCCCCCTTCCCTTTCCCCTTTTTATGATCCCTTCCCCCCCAAAAAAAAACACCTCTATGCTTGAACCCTGTCACATGGCATCTTTCTCTCAAATGCTGCTTTTCTTAAACTAGAACACTTATGATCCAACTAAATGTTCCAGCCTCCAGGAGATGAGAGAAGCAGAATATTCAGCCAAGCAGTCATACCCGGACCTGCCCAGGCCATGCACATACATGGCCAGTGTACCCAGATATTGAGAGGTGGAAAAGGAAGTTTTCTTAGGAAGTCTGAATTCTCTCTCTCTCTCTGTCTGCCTAAGAGTTTCCAGTGAAATGTGTGTTAATTTTTTTAAATGTTTGTCACTCAGCAAAGCCCTGCTAAGACCATGAGGCTTTTCACCACTGTATCTTCTCTCCTAGGACATCAATGAGTGCATTCTGGAAAACTACCCTGAGTGTTCCAACCCCAGGTTGTTTTACATCATTCCGTATTTCTGTGGACAGCACCCCAGATGTAGGTAAGCGCACTGGGAAAAGCACCCCGCCACACTGGCACTCTGTGGGACCCTTCTGCAGGAAGTCCCTCAATCTTTTGGACTTCAGTTCATGATGACAGTAGTTCTTCAAGAATATAATTTGCCATCCTGAGTGTAATAAAAGGAATGTGAGGCTCCATGACACAGAGATAGGGGTGATTACATACAGCTATATAACAGGAACACCTATCAAACCTATTCATCTACCCAAAACACGGCTGTCACCACCAACCAACAAGACAATGGAGACCAGCATCAGGTGGCCAGCCTGGTCCCTTACAGTGATCATTTGTAACCGACAACCATATCTGTGTTTTGCAGATATGGTACATGGGGTCCAATACTCTGGAAGCACACATGCAATTTGATGGTATCTCTAATGAGATACAATCCCACAGAATAGTGATTCTTAGCCTCTGGGTTGTGACCCCTTTGAGAGTCGAAGGACCCTTTTACAGGGGTCACCTAAGAATATCAGAAAACACAGATGTTTAAATTATGATTCATTAACAGTAGCAAAAATACATTTATGAAGTAGCAAAGAAAACGTTATGGTTGGGGTCACCACAACACAAGGAGCTGTATTAAAGGGCCACAGCATTAGGAAAGTTGAGAGCCACTGACATAGAAAGAGAGGATTTCCAGAGATCAAGCCGTCCTGACTTGAACATAGAGCCTTCTTCACACTGTGACTTCTCGGGTAGACAGCATCCCCCAGGGCAGGCACAAGCATTCCTAGCTGCTTTTCTAGGTGGTACTGAAGTAGCTATAGCTGAAATGATGTGCATTGTTCTAAGTACATGTCTACAACCCAGAGAAGAAAAGGTTGCAACCATGAATTACGGCCTTAGAGAGGTGGAACTGCGGCTTGCTTCCAGGTGGGACACTGAGTAGGAGGAGAGGGTCTTTGTGTCCTAGCCATGGAGTGGAGAGACACGGCTGATTCTAAGTTGTGACATTCTTGGCATCTTTTGGCTCATGGGTTTCATTTCTGTTTGATTGTGAGTTGGGTTGTTGGTGTTGTTTTGCTTAGCTTACTGTAACAGGAGAGAGTTCTTAGGATGCAAAGGCCAGGATTTATCAATATCCTGGTTCAGGCAGTCTTCCCCCATCATTTACACTGATGGTCAGTAAATGGTTTGCAGCCAGTGCTTCAGCAGCTGAGGATACAACATCAAGTGACTTACTTTTTTATGGATGTAACACGAAAATAAATGGCCCAGAGACTGATACTGTGGTTCAAGCTGAAGTTCAGAAAAGCAAAGCAGCCGGCCACTAATCCTTACCTCTACCTCAGGCTGAAAGGGCTGACCCACGAGCTCTCCTCAGCATGGCTGGAGACTGAATGCTTCCTACTGAATGCCAGACACTGATTTGTATATCTCTCATGAGTCCTGGGATTAAAGGCATGTGAGCTACAATTCTCTTTTAGCCTGATTCACTCTTGTGTAGATCTGGGTGGCTTTGAACTCCCAGAGATCCATCTATCTTTTAATCCTGAGTCCTACAATTAAAGGTGTGTACCTGGCTTCTATGGATTGTGGCTGACTTTGCTTTCTGAATCCTGAGGCAAGCTTTAATAAATCATAAATAATATGTCACCATATATGGAGGTGTTTACTCAAGGACTGTGATTCTAACTCCCTAAAGTGGGCCTCAAATTGGTTCTTCCCAAACCTTGGGCAGTGTCCTTGGGTGCCTTACCTAGTTCACATGAGGGTCCCCAGACTCCCTCCACCAATATCACTCTTTTGAACTTTACAGCTATCTTTTGTAGCAGGTAAGCCTTGTTTTGTTGTTGTTTCAAGATTGACCTTGGCTTGTCCAAATTCCTCCAAACCTGACCTATAATGAAATCCGGCTCTTCCCCTTCTATAATTCAAACAAACAATAACAGCAAAAACCAACGTTAATGTTTTTAAAAGGATGAGATGATTAGCAGTCATGATTGGACACTAGTTTTGATCACTACAAGAATATTGTCTGTGACTCTAAGTGCATTAAATGGGTTCCACTTGGTTCATCTATACAAAAGCCATTCTAACCATCTGCTTGGGACCTAAGTGTCTGTGCCTATCATTGTCTTTCATTAAATACTTAGATAGGCATATTCATTTCAAGGCCCTGGCCCTTGTGTGCATATTTTTTTTAAAAAAAAAAATGCCTCTGCTAGAGAAACCCTAGGAGAGTGGGCTGTTCTAAAGTAGGCTACACCTAGGCTAGACCTAGAAGAAATTCAGGTTAGGGTTTACACAAATGCGATGTGTGGTGGCGGGAGGGGTGGAGGCAGAAGAATTCAACTTTCCATCTTCCATGGGTTGTTACTGCACATCACGGGGGCTTTGATGTAAGTGACTTTCTTGTCTGTCAAGGGAGCCTGGCGAGTGGGCACTGGAGCGTGCCAAACTGAACGTGAATGAAAACTTCCTGCTCGTGGGGATTCTGGAGGAGCTGGAGGATGTGCTGCTTTTACTGGAAAGATTTTTACCTCATTACTTCAAGGGCGTGCTCAGCATCTACAAGGACCCAGGTAACTCCATGTGTAAGCCCTCTCCCCTGTAGGGTCCTCTGCTCCGGGGCTTTCTTGCCTTGACAATGACTTGAGAGATGAAGGTATGATATAATATCTTATTTCCCCGGGCTTTCAAAGACAGAAGAGAAGCATGAGCTTTTGACTGTAAAACCTCAAGCTTTAAGGTAAAACAGACTCACCTCAGTGGGAATCATGGTGGATTCCATGGCAGTCGAGGAGTGGTTGAGGCTGGGGACAAACACTCCAAGCAGACAGAGCTTGAGTGAGAAGTTTTCTTAGAAAGGGGAGGAAGGGGGAAGGAAAGAGAAGAGAGGTAAAGAGACACGGAGAGAGGACAGAAGAGAAGAGAGAGACAGGAAAAGTCCTGTCTGCCCCAGAGGAACAGCCGGAAGAGAGCTGGAAAATAAAGCGTAAGTGGGCGGGTGGAGGGGTGGTGCGGGTGCGGGGGGAGAGGGTCTGTCTTTTAAAGGGGCCCTTTGCATCTGCATCCAGCCTACACAGTCATGGAACCCTAGGCTGACCAGAGTACCGCCTGAGTGCATTCTGCCAGTGACAGGGGCAGGCCAGTGTAATGCCTGAATCCTTACACCATAGGCTTACCCTAGCCCATTGCTGGAAACAAAGGATGTAGATACATACACTCGCACACCTGGAGCTCCTAGATGCAAACAGGAATGGGGGAAGAGCTACTTGAGATAAGGCAGCTGGGCCCTACCCTACTGTCACACAAGCACTCTAGCGTGTAAAATCCTGGCAGTAGATTAGACAGGGGAAGCAAATTGAAAATGCAATTAAGCTTTTATTCTCACAAACCAAGTGTCCCCAAATAGAAGAGGCAAAGCGATTGCAGGACAGCCCACCGTATCACTGTGAATATAATTAATTTTGGAAATCCATCGTTTGTTTTCTTCTCATTATTATTTAGCCCTCTTGCAGCTCTCCTGTGCTTCTTAATCTACCGGTGCACAGCAAGGCTTGCGTACTTACTCACCCATCAGTCTGCAGCTTTGTGCTGTTGAGAGAAGGCATATATATGACCTGTTAGAAAAAGCAGACAGAGGAATACACTCCCAAAGACTGCAGACAGTCTGGGACAGGGGGCATATCCGCATCACCAAGGCCCAGGCAAACTTGCCTTTGCCTTGGGGAGCCCTTATGCTGAGGCCCTGCCATTTGGATAAATAGCTGGCAGATGCTTCGAACGCCTCCCAGCCCTCTCATTCAGAGTCAAAAAAAAAAAAATCTAATTTATCTGCACGTATTATGTCAGAAAACCCAAAGGTGAGCCCTGCCTTGAGTCTTCTCATCAGGAAAATCAGTTTGAAGAGCTAGAAGCCTTCAGCAGCTGAGTTTGGAAACTGAAACTTCATCTGCCCTTGCAACAACAGGCACATGAAGGAGTTTGCATGAGTTAAATGTGAAGGGCATCCACACTCCGATGTGTCTGAGGATGGTGGCTCTCTAAGACATTGTGGGCCCTACTCTGAGCAGGGAAAGAGCTTACCCTACATTAGAGTCTTTAAAGGAAGAATTCAGTCATTCTCCAGTGGACCTTTTGTCTGTCTGTCTGTCTCGATTTCTGTCTCCCTCTCTGCAGGCCTCTTGTATATGAGGGTGTGCGTATGTGCTCAAGTGTATGTGTGCTTGTGTCTGTGTGTCTCCACCTATTTGTGTATGTGTGTGTGTGCACGTGTGTGAGTATCACAGTATGAGATGACGAACTAAATGAATCTTGGTGACACATCCTTATCCAGACATCTGTTAGGGATGAAGACTTGCTAATTTAGATGAAGACATTTGCATCTCCATTCTTAAACACATACAAAACTCCAACAAAAAGCACATCCCAAAGGGGCACTTGCCTAGCTATCGCAGGAATCATTCTTATTGACTTCCTATTTTCTCCAGTTAACTAGGTGACATCTCAGAAATGGTGGGCCTTGATCCCATGATCTGTACACACATCAATTAAAGTAGAAAAGATTTGTGACAATTGGATTGCTGTTAGCTCTTTTACCTACAGCTACAGCCTTCCCACCAATAAATTAAAGCTCTCTTTCCCCTTTGCGTTTGGCAGTAACATGTTAAAGGCCTCGGAAGGAGTAAGGGGCATCTGGTATTCTTGTGTAGTGGGATGAAAGGGCTTCCAAAAACCCAATGCAGCTGTTCTGGGGGCTTACACAATGCCATGCATCTATGCTACTCTCAGAGTGCGTATTGACTGCCCTAGTCCTACCCCTTTTCTAATAGCAAAGTGATAAAAAGAATAATTCCTGGCACAGAGAGGACCCCAAGGCCCCTCCTTTCTGTTCTAAACTATGTTACTGAGAATATGTGTGACAATACATTTATAAACCCCTGTTTATAACGCCGGTCTATCTCTCTGCTGTCGTGAAGTGTGTGCATGACAAAATGAACCTTGGACCAAGAGTTCAAGAACTTCTGTGTACTGCGGTTGCATGGCAATGTCTTCTGCTGCTCCCTTATGATGGCACTGGAGGCCAAGCAAGCAAATGGTTCATCTGTCAACAATTTCTCTGTCCCCAAGGCAGAGGATGAGGGGTGAGCAGAAACTCCTGACCACCTCCTTCTTGTATCTGGGCTTCTGCGAACACAAAGTGCCATATTGTCTGCCACTGATATGTGCTGGTAGGTTACAGCCAGACAGGTGACAGGAGGTATGGATGTCTTTAATCTACTCACACCAGACCACCTTACTCTCACACTAAAATCATGGTGCTTCCTCCATTCAAGGATGTTAGGGCTGATAGTATAATTCAGTTATAGAGCTCTTGCCTAGCATGCCTATGGCCTGGATTTGATCCCCAACACTGGAAAACACACGTTCAGAATTTTAATTTGGCTCTGTTAGTAAAGCACTTGTTAAAGGCATGAGGATTTGAATTCGGATCCCCATACTCATTTAAGTGTCAGGCACAGTGCACATTAGCTGAGATACATTAACTGGACCTCCATAAAGTTTAAATATTAGTATAAAGTGTCTTCTTTTTTAAAATTAAATTCCTCCAATGATTTTGGAAAGAGACAATTTTTGCCTGATGATAATCTATCCCAGCACCAGAGAGACAGAGACTAGCAGATGCCTGGAACTCACAGGCCAGCCAGTCTAGTTGAATCATTGAGCTATCGGTTCAGTGAGAGACCCTATCTCAGAAACAACAACAATAAGGTAGCAGGTCATTGAGGAGGATCCCATTGTTGACCTCAAGCCTCCACAAACACACACTCACACCATCACACTTGCTCACACACGTGCCCTGTGAATCAGTACCTACAGTACACACACACACTCACACACATGCCCAGGTGAATCAGTACCTTCAGTACACACACACACACCTCACACACATGCCCACATGAATTAGTACCTACAGTACACACACACCCACACCTTATAACCAAATAGACTGAAAGATCAGAACAAAGAAACACTAAAATGTGAGACACCGAGGATTCTGGGAGCTGTGACCACTGTGGATTCACTAGCCACCTGGAAGAATGAATTAATATGCAAACTCTTCAGTGGCTGTCTATCACAGGCTATATGCCCTGTTATTGAACAACACAACTGCAGGTGCCTGGTTAGTTTTAGTCATTGGGACCTCTACAGTGACACTGACTACATGTGCATGACTTTCATACCAAGCACTGGGTTTTTAGGGACAGGAGAACTAGCAAAAATGGTCGTGTCTTTTAATTGGATGAAGTGTCACTTATTTTCAGATAGGAATTGTGATAGCTTTCAAGCTACTACTGCCTGTTCTAACATTTAGTGCCATTTAGTGAAGCCAGTACCTATCCTAAATACCGCTCTAACTGTGTCTTCCCCATTCTTTACTGCAGAAAGGTATGTTGCCATTGAGCAAGTTTGTCTCTGGCCATTTGGATAACTGGTCTTATAATTAAAAACAAATAATTTTGAATTAATGTTTGACTGTTATGAGACCCAGATAGCATATCTCAGAAGAAGTTCGTGATTATAAGTAATTAATATGAAATAGAATTTAAGGTTTCAACATGATGGATACACGGAGAGTAAGCCCAGGTGTTCCGGGTCATTTCAAATGCTAGGGCCCCTGCAGTATGTTTCCTCAATGAGTCTTCAGACCTGACTGAGTTGGAGTTAGAGAACAAGGACTACACTGACTTTAACGGAGAAGAAATGCCTCACTGGTGTAGCAGGTGCATCTTGTATTTACTTTGCTTGGTGCTGTGACCAAATACATGACAAAGTAGCAACCTAAGGGTTTGTGTGGAAACCATGATGGGGAAGGTGCCTCAGCAGCAATGTGAGGGAGCTGGTCACACTGCCTCCGCTGTCTGTAAGCAAGGAGAGAGAGGTCAGAATGAGGCCAGCGCTCATTCTCTCTCTCTCTCTCTCCCTCCCTCCCTCCCTCCCTCCCTCCCTCTCTCTCTCTCTCTCTCTCTCTCTCTCTCTCTCTCTCTCTCTCTCTCTCTCTCTCTCTCTCTCTCTCTCTCTCTCTCTCTCTCTCTCTCTCTCTCTCTCTCTCTCTCTCTCTCTCTCTCTCTCTCTCTCTCTCTCTCTCTCTCTCTCTCTCTCTCTCTCTCTCTCTCTCTCTCTCTCTCTCTCTCTCTCTCTCTCTCTCTCTCTCTCTCTCTCTCTCTCTCTCTCTCTCTCTCTCTCTCTCTCTCTCTCTCTCTCTCTCTCTCTCTCTCTCTCTCTCTCTCTCTCTCTCTCTCTCTCTCTCTCTCTCTCTCTCTCTCTCTCTCTCTCTCTCTCTCTCTCTCTCTCTCTCTCTCTCTCTCTCTCTCTCTCTCTCTCTCTCTCTCTCTCTCTCTCTCTCTCTCTCTCTCTCTCTCTCTCTCTCTCTCTCTCTCTCTCTCTCTCTCTCTCTCTCTCTCTAATTCAGTCTAGGATACCACCCCATAGGAGGGTGTCACCCACCAGCGGGTGGTTTTTCTCTCCTCACTCAAACCTTCTTGGAAGCACTTTCATAGCGCACCCAAATATATAT